AGACCTTCCTTAACTTTGGGCACATTGAACAGATGATACTGACCCTGAGTACCACAGACAGGTCTTCCACGGGCGTCTCGTTCAGCCGGATGCGACCCTCTTTGCAGGCCTTTTGGTAATACTCAATGGACTCCGCTCTGAACTCACTCTTGAACACATCCTGGAGGCTTTTTCCAATCCACCGACCTTTGCAGTACGTTTTGAAGTCAAAGTAGTACGGACGAACTTTGCGCAGGCCACCTTCAAAGTAATATGAGGTTTCGTCGAAATGCTCCCGGCTGAAGCTGACACCCGGGTTCCGCTTCTGTGGTGGCGGGATGTATCTCTCACCCGGACGCTGCTTCTTCCCTCCCGCTCCTCGTCGCCTTTTCCCTCGGTTCCTAGACTCGGGTTGGTCTGTCTCGTCGCTTTTGCGTTTCCCACTTTCTGCTGCCTCTACGGTACTCGTTTCCTCCGCGGACACCGGGCTGTTTACCTGTGCGGCTCCAGCAGGATCGGCAGCTGCCTGCGCCATCGTCGAGCCACGAAAATGACAAAGCAAAGCCCGGGAAATGTTTCGAAACGACAATGTGCTGTATTGTGCTTTGTGAACGGTGTCTTCCGCTTGAGTAGAGACGACTGGCAATAGTTTACATCTTCTCAAACCTCCAAACGACACACTCACGTGCATTACTTTCTCGCTAAAAGGTCCTTCACGTCGAAGGCGCGTTCTGATGACGTTTATGTGTAGTCCAACAAGTCCGATGTGTAGTTCCAACGGCCAAACCTACTTCTTCTTCTATTTCTTTTCTTTACCGAAAACGCTATCGCCACCAACCGGTTGATAGCGTGTATTGAGTGTGACCCTTCATGTGGCTGACACAACAGTGATGACATCAGAGGATGCAATTTCGTTGCTGGTCTTAATTTGATTTTTTTTTTTTTTTTACTTTCCTGGGGTCATCTGGTGAAATTGGCCTGTTTTAAAATGTACACATCAAGGAAAAGTATGTTAAAATTATTTTTCTCTATGAAACATCTTCTCCTTGGTTTATTTACTGTACTAAACATGTGATATGAAAATGGTTCATTTCATGCGTTTGATACGGATAATGAATGTTGGATAAACCACACAAATTGTTGCATCGTTAATGGGGAATGAACTACTAGTTAACCATTAGTTAATGGGTAGATAGTGAGGAACTTATCATCCAATTTTATAGAGTAGCTTTTGATTACCTAAGAGAATGAAGTGAGGCATCATACTGGGTAGTTACTCAGTAAAACAAAACCCTTCTTTTGTCTGACTGAAATACACAAAACTAAATACAAAATATTGATTGAATTTTTAGTACTGCAGTTAGTAATGAAGAACAAGCTAAGATTAGTAGGATTTTTTGGGTTTATATTGAAAATGAGCTGGATCAAATTGACCTGAAGACCATGGATGTGACTAAACAAGACCCTACGAAGGTTAATGTGATTAGTATGAACTTGTGGTAATAAAAAAACAGCTGACTATGCATCTACCCTTGCTAAATAATTAAAAAAATCTGAATGATCTTAAAAGAAGAACAGTTTAAGTGGATATTTTTGCCAGAAGCCTATTTTCATTAACCCTCATTAAAATTAACACTTTTTTTTGTTTTGTTTCGATTAACTGAAACTGCGTGAGTTTTGTATTTAAAAATTATATTTCTTCCAGGTCCCCACTGTTGTTGGTCCTGATCTAGATGATTTAACATTAATGAGGGGGGGAAAATACAATAAGCCATTGGTTCATTGGGTTTTATTAATAAATCATACAGTTGTACACATAATGATACAGTTTGATGATTTTCAAAATGTTAGTTTTCTCAATTGATAATTTTTGGCACAATGCCTCATCTTCTCTACAGTACAGTGCATTACCCTACATATATAGTATAAGAAACCAGTAAGGAACCTCTCACCAAAAACTATATTACTTTGTTAATTTGCTGTAGTTTCATTATTATTCTATGGCTTTCACTTTTCTTTGTATGAGTAACTACAGTTAAAAATAACTAAATCAATCCTTTAAGATTACACATATACAAAACATTTTTTATCTTTCATCGGAATTTCCAAACATCCTGAAAAAAAAAAAGGTACTTCAGCTTTTTCAAGCTATAACTGCATTTCCCTAACTTCTGAACATTAGCGACTTACCCATGAATTATAAAGAAGTCAGTAAAATCTTACACAACCTGTCTTCTACTTTATCCTTATAGCGCCTGAGTTGACTCAAAGGATTCTGGGTCATCAGTCCAGCCGTGGTTACTCATTCAGTCACTCTTGGAAGACAATCTGGTCAGGCAAACAGATCGAGATCCTCCTTTTATGTTGCTAAGTGACAACCAAGTGGGACTGGGGCTCAGTCAAACCACAAGAAGCGCTACGGCGCCCCAGAGATGCAGCACCAACGCCACCTCCTGCAGGGGCAACCACACTGCAGTCAGAGCTCACCTCTGGCAAGAGAAAAAAGGATGGCCATGGATAAAATCATATTTCTGGATGTCTCTCTCATTAGATTCAAGAAGAACCTAATCGAGTTAGAGTTAAAACATTATGTGAAGCTTTTTATTGTTAAATGACTTTGGTTTCATTCACTGTTGTAGTGTAAAAAGTTATTATTTCTTTTATACCCAGGCCACTGACGCCTCTTGTCAGTAAGGGGGACATAAATCACTCCCATCAAAGCTTTCTTGAGGAATGTCCCATCACTCTGCCGATCGTACTGTTCAAGCACCTGACTGCCACCATCAGGGCCCACTGGGAGCACCAACCGGCCACCAGGCTTCAGCTGCTCCAAGAGCTTTTAAAAGAGAAAGCAGATAACACAGACTGAATCTGAATGTAGCTGTTCAACTTTATTATTTCTGCTATTTTTTTTTCTATGTTATTTTCCTACAACAGGTAAAGCCACACATGTCCTTACAGATTTCGGAACAGTAGCTGCAGCTGCACCAACATGAATGGCATCAAATGGTGCGCCCTCTGGGTAGCCAAGCCTTCCATCTCCCACTGGTGACAGATGTAGAAAAGATGTTGTTGAGTGTCCTTACTTGTATGATGTTAACAACAAAATTTGTACACCCTAAAGGTTTTTTTTTGTTTTTTTTTACTCACAGACAAGTTTGACACGTCCAGAGGTGAGCAGCTCTGGGTCATCTGCTTGCACATTTTTTATTGACATTTGAACCAGTTCGTCGATATGTTCAATGCCGACCACTCTACCACTGGGCCCTGTCTGCAAGCGAGAGAAAAATGAATGTATTGCACTCAGCCAAATCCTGTCAATATTACTTGTAGGGGAAGTATTAGGCAATGTTTTTGTATGACGTACCATCCTTGCAAAGCAGGCAGTGAGATATCCACTTCCTGAGCCTACATCTAGTGCCGAAGCCCCTTCAGTTAGTTTGTCACTTAACAGCTCCAAAGCATGAGCATGCTGTCAAACCAGCACAGAGGAAATCTAGCTAGTCATTTGTAAACAAGATTAAATGTGGATTATAAAGTGTAACAGGGAAATGTTTACTCACCATGTGTGGTGCACTGATGGTTGCCCTGAAGCCTGTAATAATAACAAATAAACGTGTTACTGTACTGATAACAAATGTGTGTCTCTAAGTGTTTACAAGGATCGACTGAAATGAATACCTATCGACTGAGGAGAGTCTGCATAAGGATAGTCTCTGGAGTAGATCCCTCTGTCTGTAGCCAGCATTGCATTAAACACTTGGTCGTTACGGATCACCCCGTGATCTTGAGGAGAAAGCAGGAGGCAAATACACTGATATGTAATTTTAAATGTGTGCAGGACGATTGCTGTCTCCACATTGCTTTTGTGTTTCCTGATGCTTTAAGGGTCAAAATATGAGAATAAACAGATAGTATCGAGTCAGCGCACAAAGGTAGATTGTATCTAAATTAATTAATCATATGTTGTGAATTCTAATATTGTGATAAAATCTCAAATAGAGTTTAAAACCGGCAATATAGTTCAGTATTATATACTTTTCAAATTTCCCATCCTTACATGTTCTTTCAAACATCCAGTATCTTTTTTTCTGTCATTTTTTAATCACTATTTCCTGATATTGATAATTCAAAATAGATGTATACATTTTCTTGTCATTATTTCTCTTAATTCTGGGGAACTTTTCCTTACAGTTTTCGGATTTAAGTTGCCAAAGGATGGCTTTCTTTTTTGAGGGACGAATCTCCCCGCTTTAAATTAATTTCAGTCCTTGTTCATTCATGCCAAACTCACGACCCCCCCCCTTGTGAAAAGTGCAGTACCCCTCAGCCTGCCGATGAGCTCTGGATGTGTTTTGCCACTGGACATCCACGCCATGGTGCGGGACAGCAGCAAACCCATAGGGACAGCCACTACTGCGAGGCGCAGCGCTGCTCGCATCTCCTGCAAAAGGATCTCACTGCAGTGTCATGATCATCACATCACGGCGCTTTGCATGCCTGAACAGCCTATGTGACAAAACCACACGCAAATGTAATATTCTTATAAGCAGTATTGATGCATCCTCTGGGGTTGCAATAATCTATAATGACATGCAAAACGACCTGAATGTGGCAAAGCATGTCACACATGAAACTGAGCATGGCATTGAGCCAGCGAGCAGCTACAGTCACGCAGTTTACGTCTACGCGAATAAGTTAACGTCAAAGCAGATAATTGATTTACACTATTTCCAAAAAAAAAAACCAGCGTCAGTTCTTGAAACAGTAATTACTCACGAAAAACAGACGGAACAGCGGTCAGGAAAGGTTGTTTACCTTAGTAGTTCGTCCCCCAACCCCGCTTCCCCCCCAACCCCACACACACGTCCCTTCCAGCTGAGACAAACTTCCGGGCTCCCTCTTCGGCAAGCCCCCCCCCCCAGCAGCACCTGACCAATCAGAAGCTGAGTGTTAAAACCTGACGCGTCATCCAATCGCATCGCAATTCATTTTGACGGGCGTTGATAAGGTCCAATCACACGACAGTAAATAGGGAAGTGGTCCAACGCTCATCTCAGGATTGTGGCTCCTGAACACGGTTAGCTAACAAGGCTAATCTTTCTATTCATACATTTAAGGAAATAACGACTAACCTTTGAAGGATTTCAGACAGGTAAGGCGTTTTTGCAATTCATTACGATGTCAACCCGCCTGTGTAACTCTTTAAACGCATAGTGACAGACGATATTTTTGCGAAAGCATGTTGATGTAAATCAGTTTTTGATTTATTTTTTTTGTCGTAGTTGGACATCTTGCACAGTCTTCTTTTGTATGTGCGTGCCTGTGTTAAGTTAACAAGTCTTTTGTCACCAGGCTGATGTGGATTGTATCTGCTCTAACTCAGCCCCTGCACCACAATGATTGAAGATTTCGAGAGTCATGAGGTCCGGTCCAGCGGAGATCTGTGGTCCGAAATCTGTTCAGGTCTACCCAATGGGCGAGCAGAAGCAATCCCGGAAAACAACAACAACAACAACACGGAGTTCAAAGACTCATTCCAGCCAGCCGCACCAGTCAATGGACAATGTAACGGGACAAATACCAGCAGCTCTTCTGCTGCCAAATGGGAACCCATGGAGGATTCTGAGCTGTACATAGCCAGTTTAGGTACAAACACCCATCCAGCCTTTTTGTAGGTCTTTTTATTACACTGTGTTTTCCACCCACCTGGTTATTCCAGCATCCACCAAACACCCTTCTTGCTTTAGCTTCCAGTTTCTTCACAGTGAAACACTTTGCACAACTCCTGTCAAGTACACCACACTTCATTTGCCATTTTTTTTTTTTCCTCACCTGGGATTTATTCAAGGTTGTTTCAGTTTCCACATACATGCTTTAATCAGCATGTCACGTGACTTCTTTATGTCTGCCAAAAGCCATTTTAAGACCATGACAGGGTTTATTTTTGTAAGTGGTTTTAACTGAATATCCATGCGCTTGGTCTTGACTCACATAAAATCAGTTCATGATGGCCTAAGTACTTTTGTTATATATAAATAGGACCATATATATATATATATATATATATGTGTGTGTGTGTGTATAGGCATATGGTCCTATTTAATTGGACTTTTCAACTACAGTTAATTGTTCATTATAAAGGCTTTAAAAAAAAAAAAAAACTTATAATGAAATCAATCCAATAACAACAACTCCACATTCCAAGTTGGTGATTTGGAAATAGCCAGTGTCATGTGGGAGAAATGGCAATGTTCATTCTAAGGTAAGTTCATTTCGACTGGCCCACAAAGTTCTGCATCCTGCTCTGTGTGCTTTCATTCGCATGCATAGTCACGGTTAGCTCTCAACCTACCTTTCAGAGGTCAACACACAAAATCGAGATGCAATATTCTGTGTTTTCTGTCTACAAATTTTGCAGAGACCCGCCTAAAGAAACTAAAGGGCCAGTCCAGTGACGTGACCTCCAGGGACATGTTGCGCTCCTTATCTCAAGCGAAGAAGGAATGTTGGGACAGATTTCTGCACGACGCTCAGACCTCAGAGCTCTTCCAAGGAGGAGACATGGATGAGAGGTGAGAGAGTTTATTAAACATCTTTACTTCTGATGTTGCAGGAATAATAATTGTAACCATAACCATAATAATAATAATAATAATACCTTTGATTACTTGTGTACCTCCCTTCCCCAGTGCAATTGACAACTTCAAAAGGTGGCTGATTCCTGAGAAAGTGGCCATCAGCGCAGAAGAGCTGGAGTATCTCCTGCGGCCGTCTCAGAATAAGGACATGGTTGATGTAAACCAAACACAGAACGACGAGGATGAAGACGCAGAGGCTGCAAGACAAAACACAGAGGAAGATGATGCTCACAGCCCAGATAAATGAATGTGGTAGTAATAGCAACACTAAAAGAATTAATTCTGTGATCATTCACTACGGCTGACTTGAGTGTCATTATGTATAGCAGTGTTTCGGCCCCAGCTTTTGTTAACTGCGGTCAATGAAACCATTACAGCCTGTTATCATTCTCAGTATCCCTGGCAACGGAGTGTTAAGTACTTATTAACCCCATGTGTTTTTTCCCCTCAACCAAATCACTCCATGAAATAACATAAGTGACAATTTTACATTAGACTGTTTGTCTGGTAGAAGTAGAATTATAATCATGCCTATTATGACTCCACCCACAGTGTCTGCCATGAGACTGGGTCTTTATTTACATTTAATGAAGAACCACATGCAGCAATGTTGTATATTAGACTCTGATGACTTCAGCAACATATTATCTTTCAGAGACATGATTTTTCTTCTTTTTTTTTTTTTTTTAAATTGTGACATCTAAGGCAGGATTATATCCCTGAAAATATTGTAGCATATCTATTTTTACCATGTTGATATTACACGTGATGTTTTACCTGTGTTTCAATAAAAACACGTAAAGTTCATCCTCAGGTTTCTGCTTGTAAGCTGCATCAAGCATGCTGTGATATTAACCTTGATATTTAAGCTGCAATTCAAATTTAGCATATTTCCAGATGCAGAATTGTGTGTGCTCTCTGAGAGCAGTGACCGGTTGGACTGTGTCAGGTGATAAGTATATAAAGTTCCCCCCTGTTGTCCACTTTCCTGACTGCAGGAACTTTACATGGCAGCAAAGAAACATATTTTATTCGTACAGAATGTGTCAAAACTTTTAAGTTGGCAGTCTTCAATTCAGATTTCAGACCAAAACAAACAAATCTAAAATAAGTAATTAAGAATTTACACGAGTAAAATGATTCCAAACTCCGCTTGGGATGGGAAACCAAACATATTAAACAACGTCATACAGTCATATTATTCAATGTACGCTGTTTGAAATATTTGGAATTGCACCAGAAAATGACTCTATTTAATGGCATTATCAGAAATGTAGGACCCAATGTTTTCAAAGGTTGGATCACTGCAAAAAAGGCTGACAAAAAATGTTAAACACTGTTTGGCACAATGCTATACAGTGCAACTGCACATCAACATGAATCCTCCAGATTGAGCGTGAATTTTAATCAAAGCCTCTCAAAACAGTTTTAGCAAAAAACACAACCTACACACAAAACCTTCACAATGACAGGATTTACTGAAGGTCTGTTGTGCAAGATTATTGGATGTCGCTACACTTATATTTATAGCTATATTCATACAGCAACATTAAAAAATGAGAAAATCTTACTGAATAATGTTAACCTGAATGACAGGAAACATGTCTTCATTCATTTGGGGTTAAACATTTGGGAACACCCAGATTAACCTGCTGCCTATTTTATACGACTCTGAGGATTAATTAAATTCAAACATTCAGAAAAGTGCGTTTTCTCATTTCTCTTTCAGTTGAATCATAAAATCTGCCAATTATTTTGACATAAAGTGGATTTTATTTAAGTTCTTCTGAAGGAAAACACACATCAACACTGAGTTGTAAACACTCACTCATGCACACACACACTGACACTCACACACAAAACTGCATACCAGTGACTTTCTAACAAGCTTTAAAGTTTAAAGCAATAAAGCAGGATGTTCATTTTGTAGCATACATCTCATTTAGAGGGATTTTTAGTTCCCAACATGGATATGATTTTTGGTGTGCGGTTTCCTGTGATTCACAATTTACAACAACTTGTAAACCAGGAAGATGGTGTAATGCATATCCACCCTGCCGTGGTACTTCTGGCTCCAAAAACAATATAGCAAAACCAGGACGCAGAAATGTAGGCTTCAGTGGTCCTATTTACATTGTGATCATTTACACTGTGAGATTCTTTTCATTGTCAACTGCACACCATTTGTTAACTGTTTTGCAGCAAAACACCAAGCCAGGTTGAAGGAACACTGTAGAGGCACAGGTAGGCCTATAGAGCCTTGAGGAACAAGAGTTGACCAACATTTGTGGAATGAACATGGAGACTAAATACACACGGGTTAGTCAGACACAGGTGTGATATATCAGAAAGAGGTTTTAACAACAATGGAAGGGCACACAATTTCAACACAAATGCAAGAAGTGCAGCTACACAAGTATAGTGTGAATGACAAAATAAAACAGGAATGGTGTCAGTTGCCCCGTAAAATCAGACTAAACTATTTTCAGGTAGCAAAGCCTAGGCAAAGTTTTACAGTGAGTGTAAGCCAGTTAAAAGGAAGCAGGAGGATCGTTTTCTCTTGAGAAATGTATTTCATCATATAACTGGGGAATAACATTCCCTAGATTACATTTTTATACACACTTACAGAGCAACTGTTTGTGTAAGACGTAAGCTAACCTGAGCTAATAAAGAGGACACTTCTAAATGCTGCTTTGAGAGATCTGAGTACTTAACAAATATCAATATCAAAAGAGGTTATGACATGAGTTCTGAAACATTTCAGAAATTATTGCAACTTTTTTTTAAAAACAAAATAAGAATGCCTGTCATAAATAACATCAATACTCTAAAAGAGGTAATACCTCCATAGCTTATAGAACATTTGTATGTGAACATGTTACAAACACACACAAAATACTTCAGTTCAAATTAGTTACCCGTAGAGTAAACTTTAAATCAATCAATATATGTTTTCTAAAGATCCTTCATATCGTCTAGGTCATCCTTGCCATGGCTATTCATTATTTTTACAATTAGCCCCCTGCCCCTTCAAGTAGTCTGACGCTAATGGGTTTTGTCCTAGATCACCCCCTGAAGACTCTTGCTTGATAAAACACACAGTGACACTGGACATTTGGTACTTCTGACAACAATACATTTCCAAATGAGTTTATGTGTCATGAATATTTAACATGTTTATTGTAGGAGAAAGATCATGGTTTTTCCCTTGATTGTTCAATTTCTGCTCCGTTCCCTCATATTCGCTTCTGGGTGTGCTTTTCCAGAAAGTAGCCTGATTGTCAAGAACTCTGCTTGAATATGGAAATCAGTGTTGGCAATGATTATGAAAGGTTTGGGCACAGACTGTTCAAGATGAAGAAAATGTTTTTTCCCTTGGTTGCTAGTTCACATTGTCACATTTGACATTCAGTGCTCAGCTGACTTGTATATGTTACAGTCCCAATTTAGAAGAAAAAAAATATGATTTAGTGTGCTAGGTTCATACTTGATGGACTGTATAAAAGCCCTCACATGTTCAAATTCCCAACAGCAACATTATAGATGTTTCATATCAGATTCAAAATACCATAGGTTATTATAAAATCACTACATATGACCTGAGAGGCACGAAAGATCTCAAGTGGACTGTCAGTAGATTATCATGATTGTTCTCCAGGGTTGAGTCTGAAAAGACAATAATTCATTTTTTTCTCTGTGGGTTGATGACTCACTTACGTGTACTGTTTGCTGTGTATTTGTGTCGTGTGTGTGTGTGTGTGTGTGTGTATGTGTGTGTGTGTGTGTGTGTGTGTGTGAGAGAGAGAGAGGGAGAGAGATAGAGAGAGAGAGAGATGGAAGGAGCTCACCTCTCTATTCTGACATCTTAGCAGGCTGCAGCGAAGAGGTGAGGCTGCACAACAGTTGGACTCTCTATGGATAAAAGAGACACAACGGTGCTGAACTGTCCAAGACTTTAAAGAAAATGTTTGACTGACAGCTCACGGAGGTATTGTTTCATTCAATTTACACTTCATCTTTATTTTTCATCTGGCGACTGTAAAAATTACATTTTATCATTCCATAGATGACATATGGAAGTTTACTATTAAGATTGAGTTATGTTTTGTGAATCAAGAGCTTAAAACGCTGCTTGACATTTTGTCTTAAAGCAATATTCATAACCACATGTAAACTATATGCAGAGCAATGCACTGTCAATCTGTTCAAGTCAATAACACAGTGACATATCAAAGCATGAGAAAAGAAACCATTAGCTTATTTTTTCTAATCACTCTTATCAAGTCACAGTTGAACCAGAGCTCCTTGGACGATTCCGACAGTTTAAGAAGAGTCCAGTATGGAAAAATGTTAGGGTGATCAAGACGTCTAGAATCGAAAGTAGGTCATTTAAAATGACTGAATCATTCTCTGTCCGTGGCATTAACATATTGATGCTTTTCCTTTTCTTTAAATCCAATTAGAATTTTGGCAAAATCTGTTTGATGTATATTTATTTCAATATCATACCGTTTGTATAATTTGCTGAATATTCAAGAATTAATCTAGCCAATGTGTTGTTTGTATCATATTCCAATTTGAGCTGAAAATACAATGTGCTTACTGACGTGTGGTTTGTGTTAATGCATAATTAAGTGACAGCTGTTCTGAGACAGCTTTCCAAAGCTTCAGATGGAATAAATCGGCAATGATGCTTATTGTGACGCTGTTGCATGACATCTGACTCTACAGTGCCAGTATGTATTATTGCTAAGCAGTATCTGGGATCAAGTATGTCAATGTGGACTACCTGTACAGATGTTTTGGCAGATGATAGACGACAATCTTCAATCAGACTTTGAAGATATTATTCCTGCTGTAAATGGAAAGGACAAAAAAAACCTCAAAATTGATTGTTGATAGCTCTTTTGTTCCATAAAGAAATTGTTCATATATAAAAAATATATGCAGCAAATGATGGTGTTAAATGAGAAATATCCCAAAAGTCAAATACTTATCAGGGTTCGGGAATTTTATCAAAATTGTTCATTTTCTGGTTTCTGCAGCTATGGACTTGGAGATGTCATCAAACAGCTCCTGGGAGAACTCTTCATCACCCTTCATTCCCACCCCTTCCTTCTCCGGCCTGGATCTCCTGTACGAACTGAAACTCGTCTTCCTACCTCTCTACTCAACCGTGGTCTTGGTCGCCTGCTCCGGTAACCTCCTCCTGCTCTTCCTCATCTGGCGCAACAAGAAAAGACACAACACCACAAACTTCCTGATCAGCAACCTGGCACTTGTTGACCTGGTCATGTGCGTCTTTTGTGTCCCTTTGACAGCGTCATACGCCTTCGACAGGCGTGGATGGGTGTTTGGAGGCCGCATGTGTCATATTGTGACTGTCATGCAGTCTGCGGCGGTCTATGCAGCCGTCCTGTCCCTCATGGCCATTGCAGTGGATCGGTACGTGGTTGTGGCTTATCCAATCCGCAAAAGAGCGGGGTGTCACTTCTGTTTGGGTCTGGTGCTCTTGATCTGGCTCTCCTCTCTGGCTTTGTCCACACCTACAGCTCTGCACACCGTATACCTGGACCTGAGGACAGCAGGGTTGCAGATGGCCGTGTGTGAGGAGTTCTGGGATGGCGAGGAGCAAGGCCGCATCATCTACTCCTGTTTCCTCCTCTTCTTCTCCTACTTTGTCCCACTGGCTGCCGTCTCCATCTCCTACTGTGCTATATCCTTTCAGCTAAAACAGAGGACCGCCTCAGGTTTAACAGCGTGTCCAGAGCTGAGATCAGCTAGGTCTTTGTGGAGCAGGCGGAAGAGGAAAACCTTCCTCCTGCTGCTGGTCTCCGTCCTCGGTTTCGCCTTCTCCTGGCTCCCCTTACAGGTAGGCCTACAGGAAAAAGGTGAAAGAGACACTGCAGCATATCCCTTCGAGGATGTTCAGAAACCTGAACTGATGATTTTAACATTCATCATTTATCCCCAAACCAACATAAAGCAGGTAACACAACACACAGAAATAGTAAAAAAACAACAACATTTGAGTTAAACCAGCTTACTACTGCTAGTTAGTAGTTATTACTTTAATTAAAAACGTGTTTAAACACAAATAATATTTAAACATTACAATACAAATTCGACGGTAACAAATCTTATTTGAGAAAATATTTTACTCCTTGACTTTTCATTTGACCTTTTTTCCTCACTTGGGTTATTTCTCTTGCGATCAACCATAAGTTCTTTTAGTGTAATTTCAAAATAAAGGCTTGTCTAACAGAAACTATCGCAACATAGCCTTTAGGCAGTGAATAAACAAATTAAAGAGATCACAAATTACAGCCTTTTCTTTCAAGCTAAAACAATAAGTGATGATTTAAAAAAAAAAAAGTGATGACCTGCTTCTTATCAGCGATAATTGTGAAAATGCACTCTGGTGCTGGTAGCCAACTAGCAGACTATTTGTTGGGCAAAACAGTGACAGCAAGTAGACTAAATACATAATGTTTTGTTCTAGTTGGTTGTTTAAAAAAAACAAACAAACAAACATATATGCTAGCTGTTTCCCCTTTTCAGTCTTGGCACTGGCTAAGCTACGCTAATTGCAGCATATTGTACATTTGTATTTGCCTGCAGATAAATGTCAACTTTCTCATTGTTTCTAAGATAATTACGTATAAAATATATTTTCTTGACTTTTTTGATGAAAGCTTTTCATAACAGAATTTAATTTTGCAGGTGGTGAATCTCATCCGTGACCTGGACACAGACTTCTCCATCTTGGGTAAAAATTACGTGAACATCATCCAGGTGTCAAGTCACCTGTTGGCCATGACCTCTGCCTGCTACAACCCTTTTATTTATGCCTCGCTGCATGAAAAGTGCTTGTCCTGCCTGTGTAATCACTTCTTGTCCCAGCAGAGAAGCAAAGGAAAGGGCAGGGGTCAAGGGTCAAGCGTTCTGACGATGTCTCACAGAGTGCAGCGCCTTCACACCTCTACCTTTGTGACAGATTTGCCAGGTGTTACAAATAACTTAGGTCCTCAAGATAACTACGATTAGAAAGTGTGTTTTTTCGGGCGACTGTGGCTCTGTTGGTAGTCGGTCTTCTCTCAACTGGAAGGTTGGGAGTTCGATCCCCAGCTCCTGCAACCACATGTCCGAAGTGTTCTGTGCAAGACATTTAACCTCAAGTTGCTCCCGCTGCTTCGTCAGCGGTGTATGAATGTGTATGAATGAGATGAGTTACTTCTGATGGTCACTACACAGAAACCTCTGTCATCAGTATGTGAATAGGTGTGACCTGCAGTGAAAAAGCGCTTTTGAGTAGTCAGAAGACTAGATAAGCGGGGTTGGTTTGAGCGTTTGATTTGATTGGAGGGTAGGATGGAGGGAGAGGCGAAGCTATTATTTTTCTCTTCTTTGGCCGGGTCCTGCAGCAGCAGCCCCCAGACCCTCAGGAGGGGACCTGCAGGACCCAGCCTGTTCAGAGAGCACACATGAGGGGGAGGGGCCACCAGACCCAGCAGAGGGAAGCCCCCCCCCCCGCCCCAAGTGCAGCAGCCTGTATTATAATTGTCATGCCCCTCCCTCCTGAGCATCCTCCGCAACAAAAATATCTCTGACCAACGTTTTGGGCCCACTTGGGGTCACTTGGTTGGTATGACAGAGGGTATATGTGTATGTGTGTGTGTGTGTGTGTGTGTGTATTTGAGAGAGGAAAGAGTAATATATAAAAAAATTAATAAAAGGGGAAACAGGGATAATAATAATAATAATAATAATATATAATTCTAATGATGATGATATGTCTTATGATGGAATGGAAGTAACATGAAGCCGAAAACTTTGGAAGAAGGGAAAAACAAAACAAAAAAAACAATCAAATAAAGAATAAACAGATAAAAAGTTTGCATGATGAAATTTTGAAATTTATATTGAATTTTGAAATTGAACAGATGATGTGATGCCTGATGTATATCGAAAGGAATAAAGGGAATAACATTATAAATCAAAATAATTGTAAGAATAGAAAAAAACTAAGTTGTAGTAGTGAATAAAGAAAAAATAAAAATAAGAGAGGAGAAAAATAAAAAAATAAAAAATAAAACAAAAACAAACAAAAAGGGCAAAATTAAATAAATGAATAATGATTTAAATGACAAGAAAAATATATAAAAATACTATGTTTCATATCTAATAATGATGATAATAAAATTAAGTAATACAAAAATTAAACAAAAGAATAAGTGTGTATGTCGCAGTTCAAGAAAGATGAAATATAACAGCGTATTAAATGAAATAAGTGTTGAGAGAGACCATTGATGTATTATCATCCACGAAAGTCACAAAAAAAAATAGATAATAAAAAAACAAGGACGAGATTCAACAACGTAATAATAATGATTATAATAATAATTATTATAATAATACTAATTAGAGATGACAAAACTCTTAACCTCACACAGAGGGTTTACAGCTGGATTTTGTCACATTCTATTTTTAAGATTTATTTTTGGGCTTTTTTGTGCCTTTAATGGAGAGATAGAACAATGAATAGAGACGGAAATCAGGGAGAGCGAGTACATGGGGCACGCGCACTAACCACTGCGCCACGAGCACCTCGATTTTGTCACATTCTTAATAACAAAAAAATAACCATGAAATCATTAGCATGATTTGTGTTTGGTATAATTTCTTAATGTGTGTGCATTCATGTACAAAAAGTCAAATAAGCACTGAAAAAAACATTTGAAATGTAAAAAACATTTAGATCTTATTGGCCAAAAACTGTGAGAAAAGTTATAGTTTTTCATTAAATTGCTGTTTATATTTATGTTATTGTGAATATGAAATACTTTATATAAACTCATGGCATGTTTTTGTTTTTGTTTTTGTTCAAGAGTCATTTTAATGTCTTTATCTTATTGTTTATTTTCCCTGCGTTTGCACCTCTACTGGTATAGCATAAGGAGGATTATATGTTCATATTACGTTATGATATTTAATCTATTTAATGTCAGTCTTTCTGCTCTTGCTGTGACATTTGTTAAGTCCAAGCAGTATGTTCAGTGTATTTAATGTCAACTTTACATGGTGAGAAAGAAAAAGATTGTGCTGTTTAATGTGATGTGAATAATAGTAAAGAGCAAACAAACCAGAGGGAATCTTTGATGAATGAAGGAATATAAAGTTTATGTCTTTGTAGCGTCATGCACTGATTTTAAAAAAGTAAAAAAAAAAATGCAAATTATGATGACTTGTTGATATTTTAAAATACTTTACTGTGAACAACGTTCTGCTTCAGTTTGAAAAATGTACTCATTGCTAGCAATCATTTTACAAACCATATAATGTTGCTGTGAGAACGTGTGTCTTCTTTTTCTAAAATGTTTTAATGCCCATATTGTCCTCACTTTAAATCAAACACTGGTTGCACAATAAAGCATCAACAGCTCAGAGTGAGCAGTTTGGTGAGTAACCAACCTTTGTAAGGTTTATTCACATTTTCTGACTCGTAAGTCTCCCTTAACTGTCTTGAACTAAGCTATTAAAGAGCCATGTGACATACTTCTAATCTAATACATGCTAGAGTTCTTTTCATTCGAAAATATTGTTTAGAATTACAATGAAGAGACACTCAAGAGAAACAAAACAAAACCAATTTTACAGTTTACAAGAGTATCTCTTAGCTAGAGCCATTAATATGGAATAATATCCATTAACATAAACTTACAACCTTAAAACAATTCATCTATTACTTTTGCAATTATATCAGAATAGATGACCATTATTCAAGATGAACATTTAATTGAAAAATGTGTAATAGTTGCCGATGGAGATGATTTTTCAGCCATGAAGTGGAGGTGTGGATGTGCTGCAGTATGAAATAAACAAAAGGTGATAAAGATACACTTAGAGCTGAAACCTCTGCTATGATGGCATTACATGGACCACATGCAATATCTTGTATGCTAATCTTACATGCAATTAAGCAGACTGCTATCCTCTGTGGACGTCCTTTGTAAAAATGCAAATATGAGCAGGCTTAGCAAAGTCTTTAAATGCAAATGTTAGTGCTGTTGATACAGTAAGCATGTAAATTGAGGTGTATGAATACAGGAGAGGTGATGGTTTTACTCTGAAGATGCTTGACCATAATGCATATGTAATATATGCAGAAAAACAATATGAAGCATTTCTTAGAAGAAAATTGTGTTGGTCTCAAGTGAACCACCGTCAACATTTTTTCATGAAAATCTGAGTTAGGGCCGTAGTCAACATTTTGAGTTGATAAAAAGTTAATGAAGAAGTTAGTGTCCAGGCTGCCTTAAAATTTTAAGTTGCATATATCGTCACTTGGCCAAAATTGGGGGAAAATCGCGATATATACAAAAGACCACCCCTTGCATATATCGCCGATTGGTCGAAATTGGGGGAAAAGAACCCCCCCCCCCCTTTTTAAAGTATTTTTAATTTTTGATTTCAAGTCAAAATAAATTGATAGACCATTTTGCCTTAACTAGATCATTTCACAGGAACTGAATTGTGAAAAAAGGTTGTGTTAACTTAAAGATTAAAGTAGAACTGACTTGATAAATTGTCTTTCTTTGGAATAATCACATTTATCTCTTTTTAAGTTCAGTTAACTTAAAATTTTCAAAACACTTACTTTTTTAAATTATAACTAGTTTTATTTTAGAGTGTATGTCATCCTGAAGCTGTGACCACATTAGACCTTCCAAATATGTCGTGTAGGTTGAAAGTTAAAATGCTTATATGTTTTATCACTCAGGTTATTCAGCGGAACAAACCCCTCCAAATTTCAATTGAAGGTTCCAAAAAAATTCTCTTAAGTTTCAGAAAAAGTTCATTTGAAAAGTCACAATTTCCCCTTGAAATGTCCTGGTTTCCAAGAGATTTAAATTTAGATGTTTGTAAATCTTAGGAAGTTTAGGAAAATTCCCATTGATATATCCCAGCATTTTTTTTATTAATTAAATTCTTTTGGTATTTTTTATTTATTAATTTAATTCTTTTGGTATTAATTATAAGTTTTGAAAATTTTCACTGGAAAATTCCAAAAAGTTATCAAAAATGTCCAAAAGGGTCAAGAAAGTTTAAAAAAATAAAAAAATAGTATAACAAAATCTTCTACAACAGATCCCAGAACGTTTGAGAAGATGTCCTTAATATTATGAAAAATTAAGTAAATCTAAAAAGGCGTTTTGCTTTTCAGCAAGACGGTTTACAGGCTTCAAACCCAAGACTGTTCTTTTCCCTGTGTCCCTTGAATGATCTGGCTTTCAGAAATTGAAGTCAGGACAATTATTTTTCTGTACAAAGTAATCAGTTCATTATGGTATACCAAAATCATTGTCAAGACTTCAATTCAAAGCAGCGTCCAGGGTTCGAAGCCTGAACCATCTTGCTGTGAGGTAGCAGTCTCAACAATTATTTTGAAAGATTCTTTGGTTTTAATCAGTCCTAATGAATCCGTCTTTTTTTTTTAAACCTTATTGCAGATTTCAAAATCATTCAGACCATAAGTTTTTTTTTTTTACTTGTTACATTGACTTTATAGTATTTACAAATGTCACGTAGCAACTCAGACATGTAGTAGAATATATTATTTTTTTAATATATAATAATAACCCCTATAAAAAATTATCTCAAGGCCATCTAACATTTAAATGTTATTTGTGGTACATTCTTTAACCCTACAACCAAGCCTGTATAATAAATTGTTAATTGAAGCAGATGAACTCTGACATTTACTGTAACTCTTACATTCTTGCTCTCATAGATGCAACTGATTGGTATGCATCTGTTTTTAAACCTCTTAACCTGGTTGAGTAATGTCTGGGGTCTCATACATATTCATCAGAGCTGATTGCTGAAGTTACATGATTTACAAAGTCTGCTTTGAGAATGCTCTAACTTGTTTTTCTTCTAATGTTATACGCAGCGTAACAGATGCATGCAGAGACAAAGAGGGCAAGACAATGTCAATGTAATTACATGTATATTCCGAAAATTCAGATTATTTTGATGCAGTAGAAAGATAATCATAAATAATTATACAGCCCACTTAGAACACCCCACCCACCCTTAACTCAGAATAATCAGTCTGAGTGAGAAGTGATTGATTGAATAGATTTTGTTACGGTTACAGTTAAACACCGTAACAAACTTAATGAAGTGTTTTTATATTGACACAATTATTCTGTAAGCCTATTCAGTAATTTTGACAGATTTTTTTATCCCGAATGTTGGGTGTTAAATTTCATAAAATATTAGACACTCTGAGTGCTATGATCACAGTGATTATCATATCTGATCAAGCAGTCAGATTTTAGTATTTTGGTTGAGTGAGCCCTCATGTGGGCAACAGTCAGTACTACAGCTCTAATCTTTAAAGAGTATTTGCCAGTTTAATTTGACATAACCAACTAAAAAAAAAAAAAACTTCAACACATGCTCAAACTCATATATTATTTATTACAATTAAATATTTTTCTTATATTACAGAGGTCAATTTGAAACCATACAAATATTCTGTGCTGTGATTAATATTTCCAAGATATTTCCAAAAATGCCATGCAAAGAATATGAACAGAAATTCACATCAGAAGAACCAGAGTTTAGGTTTTTGTACACCTTGGGGATAATGAAATACTTCTTCAAATACTCTACCTACCCTGTCACTTTTTGGTGCAAACATTTCTTTGTGGTGATTACAGATAAGAATGGTGTCATCTGAGAAAAAAAAAAAAGGAAAGGCATTTGGAAGGTGGGTAAAAACGACAGCTACTGCTCGTCTTTCTCTTCATGGAAAAAACTTGGAATTAAGACGGGTTAAGGGGAACAGGCACAGAGGACCAATTAAGACATAATTATCACACATCTTGATTAAACATAATTAGTCTGCTGAAGGGTTCCTGAAGCCATAATCTGTACCGTGTAAACACCCACTGGGGTTTTCAATTTCAGAACCAAATGATAGCAAATGTACTTATTCCATATTCTACTTTATTTCATTGTGCTGTGTGGGCTTTACTGCTGTTTCAATCATTTTCAGAAATGATTCTGTCACAAAATTGTTTCTGATACAAATTGCCTTTGGTTGATTTAAAAAAGGCAGGATGAAAAGGCAGGGTCTATTTTTTTTTTAAGTCAAATATGAATTCTTAGTAAACTGTGAATTCTGTTTTGTCTAGGCTCCCTTTATAAAGGGCGTAAAGCAGAAGTAGGCAGGGTGTGATCATTTTCGTATGAAATTCCACCCCAAATCTATGTTTTAACAACAAGGTTTTTCACCACTGTGCTTGTGAAGTGGATCTCAGTAGTTTTAAGGTCATGAACATCTTAAGTACTGCTTCAATCATTACTTCTTTTTACCGTCCATCCAAATATCAACATTATTGAGTATCTTGTCATTTGACCAAAATGTAGTTAAGGGCACCATCTCAATTTTTCTGAAGCCAACCTGGCTTCACTGCAAGATTGTGGTGTTGGGTACATTTTGGCAAAGAAAAAGATAAAAGTTTGAAACATCAGTATTCAGGTGGACAGTTAATCGGAGGATAATAATTTTGTATTTTATGCAACTCAATATTTTGGTTAGTACATCAATAACTTTTTTTAAATAACAGCAGACAATTAGCTTAGCTTAGCATAAAGACTAGAGACCGAGAGAAACAGCTGTTGTAAGTTGCTACTTTTTAAATGTGTTTTTCTTTTTTACTTGTAAAGGTCCTGGAAGGTAAAAGTTTTTTCGTTTTCAGTCAGAGCTATGCGTGCTGTTACCTCTTGCCATCCTTATGCTAAGCTAATCTAACCTGGAGACAGCTGTTGCGTCACACTGTATATCACAACGTTATCAATCTGCTTGTTTAACTCTTAACAACAAGGTAAATTGCCGCTTCTCACGGACTGTCAAATGCTTTGAGTTGAATAATAAAGATCTTAACATTTCAAGCTAACGTGTACAGACCTTGGTCAAAATGATTGTGTTGGATGAAGATTCAGTGTTGCCTTCCAGATCCCATAAGATCACATGAAGGTGATGAAACTGAGAGGCATCTCAAGCATTTAGGAATCACAATCAGCAGACTAAAAAGCTTCATTTCCCCAGGCTGTATTGGTACACATTTCTAAATGAAAGGCTGGGAATGTTCTCTAAGGCAGCAAGATAAAGGGCACAGGCTTGTGGCAAGGTGAGTTTAAATCATTATAGCATTCAGCATTTAAAGGTATAGAGGCAAAGCATCATCATCTGAAGAGAACTGAAAGGATAACGACAGGAAGCTGGGAAGGGTGAAGGTACATTTTGGTCCTGCAGGTTAAGCATCTCTGTTCACATGTTCACAGGTGTCCGTCAAAATGTAACTGAGATTCCTCAAAATACTCCAAATCCTCAAATCCATCTTGAGGATTTCAAGATCTTAATACAGCATTGAGTGGGTCTGAATTGGGTAAGCAAGCTCTATCAGTCACAGAAATACTATTGCAAATGACTCACACTTTCATCTGAGACAGTGTAGCTAAAAGGAGATACATTTTTAACCTTCAAATTTAGGAATGAACGCCACTCATCTAAAACTCTATTCTTTAAAATCATCTTTTGAAAATAAATTATGTTTTCATCTCAGTACAGAAATAAATACTTATCTTCTCTCAAACGTAGGAATGAATCATCATCACTGATCTAAATGCTACACTCAATACATTACTCACCATCTCATCGGTGAACAAACAAGAATATAAGTGACTAACTGATGCCATCTGCTAAAAACAGACACTCATCCAGAAAAATAAAAGCAAATATACAGTCAGCTAAGACCAGAGTCAAATCACACATCTGGCAAACAGCTTTTGACAAAGTAAAATACTCTCAATAATTGGCATAACAAAAATCCCCTCAATGCAACTGGACATCTCCACACTGCGACATCAAGCAGACTGAACTGTGCTTTCTTTGTAGAGTGCGCTTCTGTTGTACATTAAAAACATCCCCACAGATGCTGATTTTAGAGCAACAAATATAACATGAAAGCTGAAATTATCCGAGAAACCCACAAGAGATGCAAGTAAAGAATTTCTACATTTCATAGTCTTCCGTGTTATTAATGAGAGTGGTTAAAAAAAAAAATAATTTCATCTTTCTGATCTAAGCACTGTGTTCAGGATCTAGTCCACCACAGTATGCTTCAAAGGGCTATTCAATAATATAAGATGGGTTTGCTTATTTGCTTAACTTTCAAGATTCTGGTGAGATGACCAATAGCGCTCTGTCTGATTAACATGGAACTGGAGTAGATTTGGTATCTGGATTGCCTCCAAGACTGCTATAAAAAAGGGGTATTGGATATCAGCTATTCAAAAATAAATTCTATATACCATGTCTAATTATCTCAATCAAAAATCAACTGGTGTCAGGTGACACAAACATAACACAGTACATTCAATGCTGTCTCCAACTCTAAGTCAAAACTAGCAAAAAAATGTCAACTTGTCAGTGTTTTCCACCAATATTGTGTTTGTTATCAGACTAGTTTCAAAGTGGTTCTAGGTCCTGTCAAATTCTTGAGTCTAACTATCCAAATCAATATCAGAAAAAAAAAAAAAAAAGGTTTCAGAACATTTCTAAACTGGAGTCGGCGGCGAGTTAGCTTAGCTTACATGATACTCGGGAAAACACAAATATACAATATTGGTCCCCATTGTAGTGCCCTTAAGGGTTGAATAGTTCATTAGCACTTAGATGTATGGAAACAAAAGGAAACGCCTAGCCTTGCCCAGTCCAAAGCCAATAGACAGCAGCTAGCCTAGGGAAACATCTTCTTGATTCAGTCAATACCAAGGCTAGCTTTCCACCACGTCCAGTCTTTATGCTAAGCTAAGCTAACCAACAGCTGGTAGTGGCTTCATATTTATGGTACAGACATGGGAGTGGTATTGATCTTCTCATCTTACTCACGGCAAGAAAGAGAAATTCTCCAAATGCCAAACGTCTTACTCCTGAAAATGTGAGAGAAATATTATAATAACTGTGATGATGTCCTCAGCCACTGAGACATTTTTGTCCGTCTTCTCTTCTAAACGACCAAAGGGGCACAATATACCTCAAATTTTCTTCAACCATAACATTTCATTGTGACACATTATGCATCTGAAATCTGTGACTCAAACAGTGACGTAATCAACATGTAACATCAACCTCTGTTCATATCTATCAAATGTCACATTTCTAAGAGCTACAGTAGCGTTTTCTACAGCAGAGTAGGTTCAAGGTTTTTCACACAGCTGCTACGACACCAGAGAGCCATGTATGACACAATCCATTTACACAGCCATAGCAATCCTTTTACAATATGTCAGACCATTACTCTCACTAAATAAATGTGTGGCATAGAAGTGTGAAAAAGAATTTCAAACAAAAAAATGAGTTGATCTATAAATCCTTCAACGTAAACGTCCAGTTCCTCTCACACAGGCAGCAGATCGGTTTGTAGTTAATTGAAGTTGTGGAGGATGTAACCGGGGTAACATCATCTCACATCCCATCGTAATCTGTGTCATGTCCTGTCAGATGCTACTGCAGGTTTTTGAGGAGGCGTCCATAGCGAAAGTCATAGACGTGTCGACAGAAATACACCAGCTCTGGGTCGACATCATCGGGCACACAGTGGTGGGTGGGCATGGCATTACCAACAATGGGTGGCACCAGGAGGGAGGCGGCACTGTCACGTACACCCTCCCTACGGCGTTTTACCAAGGCACAAAATCTAGACGAAGCACAAAAAACAGAACATCAGACTGAATTGCCTGCCTGCTAAAGATTCTTTGCAGCATCAAACTGTCGGCTTAACATCGTGCATTTTAATTCAGTGAACGTGTAAATCTTTCAAAAGCAACATGTCTATTCAAGAAATACATTTCCATAGCCACCATAAAATGTACTACGTGCATATACTGTACATGTATTTCTTCTTCTTACCGGCAGTACTGTGCCAATGTTAGGACGTAGCATTTGTCTTCAATACAGGCCACGCTGTTCACATCCTGGTGACGAGACGCGAAGATCTCATTCTGGAGCAAGAAAAGTTACATTTTCAGTCTTCTGTTAAATCCACATATACAAGACGAGATCATCCACCAAATTAGAATTTTCATTGCAGGATCGTTTTCCAACTAGGCCTTCCAGAGGAGGGGACAAGGGTTTAAATGAAGTTTGTGGACTGTAATTTAGCGACTTAAAGTTCTTTGCTTGGGGGGTGCGGGGGCTATCAGAAAGACCAGGGTCTATGGGGGTGGGATTAGCAGCAGCACTGAACATTTCTAATTGGTCGAGTACTTGAAGTATTCACTCGATTCTTTCCCCTGTTAGCAGAAAATACCCCCCCTCATGGGACAGTCAAGGGTTGTTTTGGTGAAAATGTAACTTTGATCTTCACAGCCTGCACACCTATGCTGCACACATGCATAAGGTCTTTAAAAAGAAAAAACATTCTTCTACCTCTTTCAACACAGGCACATCTGTCTCACCTGCACTCCCAGATGCAAAGAATGATTCAAAGGGATACAAGTGTTTCATTTCTACCTCTAAGTCAAAGCTCTGTTGCTGCTCTCAGTGTCGCTCTGATATGTCTGTTGTTTGTTAGTGCAGCAGACAAATGACAGACTTCGTGTGATTTATTGTTTCTGAAGATTAAATAAAGTGCAACATGTGCCTCTGGGAGATTAGTGACGACAGGAAGCAAGAAAAACAGAAGCTGCTCCTCAACATGTGTGTCCATCTGCTATGTGTGTCAGATTGCTTTTTCAGCTTCTGAGTTTGGCCAAAAAGCTGAGAAGTCCTCTCTTGAATTGTAATGTTCTCATTTTTATGCAAAGTCAGTTTTCAGATGGGAGCAAATGAATGCAAAACTACATTGGGAGGAGGTTTAAAAGTATTTTATTAGAAGAGAAGAATTAAACTAAAAATGTCTTTATTGTTTAACATAATTATCTATTTATCATGCTGTCAACAAATCTCATAATAAGTCCACAACCAGAAATGTAGTGTTGCATCTAGCGACAAACCCATTTGCAGCAGCAGGATTGTGTATGGGATTGTCTAGAAATAAACTGAAGGGGCAATGTTTATGATAATGAAGGGATGTGTCATCCAGTACAGCTGTGTGGCTCATTGCTACGAAACAATGAAGGTTAAAAACATGGAGGAATGGGCTAGTTTGGGTTTTTGGATACACACAACTTGTCAGCGAAATCAATTCACTGTTTGTTTCAGCGTTTTTTGATACATGTTGCTGGTAACATGGCATGCAGCTGAAATATTCTAGCCGCTTACATGCAGTTTGTCATAATCTGCTCCTCTATATGAAAACATTTCGCACATGGTTCAGTGAAGCTGTGTCTAAAGTGTCCTGCTGTTAAATCTTAACCTCGACAAACCAGTATTTAATGGTGTAAAAGGATTTGCGTTTTACCTCACAATGTACATTTGGGTTTCGTCCCCCCTGTGTGTGTTCCGGACGGTAGTACCAAAACAAACTCATCATCAGCTCTCCTGAAAAAGTGAAAACACACAGTTCAATTCCGTTATCGAGACAGTAATTACGACATCAATTCAGTTTCTTGTGCTGTAAGGTAATTAGTGTGTGTATCATGTGTTTTACCGGTCTCTGGCTCCATCCACAGAGCTGAGATCTTGGCCACGTAAGGCAGAGTCTTCTTCCTCGGTCCAGACTTCAGGAGAACAGCGTCTCTGACACAAATCAGCTCCCCGTCCCTCTGGACTCCCTCGTAACATGTCCTTAAAACCATCGCCTCCTCTCCCTGAGAACACAGGCAGCAGGAAACACTGACTCCACTGATAAGATGTGAGAGGCTGGGCAGTCCAAAGTGCCAGGGTTTGATTTATTTTTCACCACATTCACACAGCAGCCCTTTTCTTCTGATGTCACACTCAGGGAGGGAAGCTCAAATGTTGTTGTAATGCCATAATACTGTATTCCAGGTGGTACAGGATGACAATCATTATCATTACACTATTTCAGAATTAAGAAGAAACTGAGAGAATTGAAATAATTAAAAGTAAAAACTTGGGAGGGGAAATCTGGTCATATGTCAAAGTAAAACAAAAAAAAAATATGCTGTAGGAATTTAAGCCTATTATATTGTATTGTGTAAAAACATCAATCAGTAATATCAGCTTTCAGCCACTTCCTTGCATACAGAAACAATATCTAGAAATAGCTGAATGTTAGTTGTTGTCTGATATTGCTCGAGTCTTCTTGAATCCAATATTTTGTTGTTTCTTTCTTCATTAGCTGTTGTCCAAAGGCAGCTAAGAAGTTTTCAAATATGGTGTTTTTACTTAGTTTCTTATTCATCAAGATTGGGTGAAATTTTAACAGTTGTCAGGGTGTTCAATTTTAAATGACTTACAACCTGGGAAAATAGAATGACATTGTCAAAGTGTTCGAGCTTCCCTCCTCCCTGAGCATGTGTCAGAGTAAAATAGCTTCTTTGAGAATCTAGTGTCTTGTGTTCCATCGACATGTCTTGTAGAAATGAGGACAATCAGGTGTATGACAGATACAAAAAAAGAACTGTGAATGAACTTTTGCTATAAAAGACTTTGTTACAAGTCAGCTTCATTTACACCCCATTTAATGAAAACTAGCACCATCATGGCCGTGTTACAAGGCTGTCTTTACGTACCACAGAGAAAACTTCCCTCTGATAGGGCACGCCGACTGGCCGCCAGCCGTTGGTGGCTTTTTGGCGTCCATTCTTCGGCTGCTTGGCAACAGTTCGCCCTCCGACGCTGGCAGGGCCGAGCTTCTGTTTCTTGTCCCTGTTGAGAGGGCAGTCAGCCGAGCCGATGCTGCCGGTCCCGCGCGTGCCAGACCTGGACCCGCTGGGCGACTTGGCACTCTGGGGACACTCCTTTGCCACCTGCAGAGGAGGCTGCGGTTGGCTGGGATCGGAAAGCGGAGCCTGGGTGTGGGGCACTGATTGGCCGGCTGGAGGCACGTTGGAAATGGGGCAGCCAGTGAGGGTCCGGGGACTGGGACAGATGGGGATGGAGGAGGGGCTGTGATGGTCGCCGAGTGTCGATGGGTAGTCTTCTGAGAAGAGAAACAAAAACATATTAAGGTGGAGAGACAGTGTGACAGAGTCCTCTAGGAAGCATCATCAGTGATCAACAACCTTTAACAAGGTTACATAATAGACCCCCAGTTTTTTATTGGTTCCGCTGAAGCAGCAGAAAAAAAAAAAAGAAAAAAAAATAGAGCATCAATTAAAGCCAATTATAGCCTTTAACAGCTCTTCACACACGCACTGACACACTCACTCTTGAAGTCCTATAAAGCTGAGAGTCGAGAACACTCACTGTTACTGTGTGAAATAACAATAGCAGGTCGTTCACACTTCCTTGATACTGTTGTTGTGATGACATTAAGGGAAATGAATGATCGATTTAGTCCAACATCATCAGCAGCCACTTTTTACTCCAACAATGTCAATCATTTGGCTACTTCTACCAATTACAACATTTATGTGCTGCCAACTACAAATCAACTAAATTCAAGCCCTTGCAAAACAAGGCCACACGGAGCCAGGTGAATCCTTCTGTATTTTTTGCATGAACTGCAATTGTTGATTATGGTGTCTTTGGTAATAAGCCAACATCAACTAGCAACGATTGGTCTGCCAGAGCTAACCAATCATTCCGGTTTGGTTCAGTACAGTTTGGTACAGTGAACCCTGATCTTCTACAGCCAACTGTATTCTTACTTGGTAAGCGGGGCGTCAGATGGACGGCGATAGCTGCGTCAGCTACGCAGTAGTGTCACATAGAAGCGCGACATAGCAGAGCTCGACATAGTAAACAAAGAGCAACAATGGAGGTTCGGCATTCTGTGTTCTTCCTACTGGGCATGTGGCTGTTCATTAAAATAAAATAGAATAAAACATTTGGCAGAGCCTATGGTGGAATATCATTGGAGGCAGGCAAGCATAGATTTTTTTTTTCTGATAAAAAAAAAAGAAACTCAAAGGGGTTTTGGCCATAAATAATGGAAGCATTATGAGTCATATCAGACAGAGTGTGACTGACTGCCTTTAAATTCAACTGCTGATTTCTAAAACAAAGAATGAGCTGTTTCTTCTGTCAGACGTAACACAGGGGTGCTTTAAGTTAAGGATGTTCTACCGCTGCTGACTAGCGACATTACTACATCATGATGTCATTGCACTACATCAGTACACCCACACAGGTGGTTAGACTCACACTAATTACATCTCAATCACATGAGGTCACTTGATTCTTTGTAACAATAAGTTGTTTTGCTTCAACATGTTCAACAAAATTAAAAGGAGAGTGAGGAAGATGTCGATACATTTTCTTTTTGTTAATGCCCGCCCAGTCCTGAGAAAAGGTCTAATCAGGCAGAAAAGGGCCAACACCTGTGTGGGTGGTCTTTCTGACGTCAGACATTTGGAGCACAGGTGTTACTATGAACATTAGAGATGACTTTGTTTACAAATGCTTCGCTTCAGTTCCCTTAAATTACATCCATGCATCCCTCATTCGCGTCCTTTCCTTGCGTCTCAGTCCCTCCCAACAGAGTGCATGGAGAGCAGATGGAGAACGAGGAAATACGTTTGAACAGACTCGAGACGTCCTTTCCTCCAAAGTGTCATAACAAGTGACTTCTATTTGTGACAATGACATCAGCTGATCACCGCTCAGCCGTCAGTCAATCCTTACAGCTGACTGTTTCTATACAAATGTGCACTGTATTAACTCTAACGAAATACGCACAACAACAGTCTTCTGCATTGGCTTCATTTTTCAAGACCAGAGGTTGTCGCTTTGTTCAACGTCTGTTAAGCATCTGTCTTAAGGTCCGTCTATTCTCTGTAAGTAAACTCTTGGGATTTGAAGTTTCATTTAAGTCTGATGCGCTGCAGCGTCCAATGAATGAGTGATATCAAATCAGGGAGTGTCTTTCAGTGAAAAGGCTTCTGCTCTCGTGTATCCTATCCTGCATTTGACGTACAGTTAACTAAGCGCACTGCCTCTTTGACACAGCGCAGTTAAAATCATTTTACTGCTGATTGGATGAAACCCCTTACCACAGCGTAAAATAATACATTACTGGAAGCCTGTTGCACGGAGTCCGTTTCAGAGAAACATCTTGTTTAAGATGGAAACCAGATAAAAACGATGCACACTTTCATCAGATTTAAACGTGCCCCAGGACAAACACCTAAATTGTTTGACCTTAGTTCATTCCATGACATACATCAGTGTTTTTCATACTGTAACATGGTTAAATGTATTGAGTTTAGTCCTTAGTTGTAAAAACTGAAGAAAAAAATGCTGAAACGTAGAATGAAAGAGCTCTTTAGAACATGCGTCTTACCCTCTCAGCCTGACCTGGTTTTGGCTGCTGGAAAACCAAGAGCGCAGAGAGAGAGCGCAGTATCATTAGAGTGGTGTGTGCTCATGTGTAATTAGTGCTTTGTGAGGTCCAGCTGAGGTGTTTTAAACCATACATCCACACACTTCATTCTTGAATGTTGTAGACATCACACTTTTTTTTCTGTTCTGGCTCACATTTCTGTCTCTAACTCAGCAAACTAACTGCTGACAAACGAGCTCAAATAATCAGCTCATTAGGTTTCAGCTGCACAGGCCTCATATTCAGCGTCCTGCAGCCTGTATTCAAACTCAGACAAAAGAGGTCTTGGCCTGTATCTGATATTTTTTTGTGACTTCCCACTCAAGTGACATTCCAAAATGGTAGTTTAACCCCCCCCCCCCCGACATAATAGCTATTCTCAGCACATTGTTCTGCTTTGGCAGTCAGATTAGAGGGGATGGGGGGTGCTGCATATAAAAAAAAGCTTATAACTACAGTCTGCTTGGCAATAATTAATACTTAAACTTATCACTAAATCCTTCTGTCGGAGTTAAAGGGGGTCGGTGATTTTACTGATGAAGTTCAGTTTCCTTGTTAAAGAGAGTGTTAATTGGCCTGTAAAAATAGTTGAATTTCTCTGTAGGGAGCTGAGGAAATAACCCTGATAGTGTCTCTAAACAACACTAAAAAGCTAAAGTAACCTTCCAATCAGTCCGACATGACAATGATCTTCAGCAGTGATCTCTTCTGTCTGTTTAAATTCAGTACAAAAATAACGTCTTTTTCAACAAGGTGAAAGTCTGCTTTTTTTCAGGAGCTGACACAGGAGCTGGTTCTCTTGTTTTTCTTATTCGTTTTCATTCATCTGACAAATGACAGGAGAGCAAAATTATGGTATGCAACAAAATTAACCTAAATTGTATATTTAAGTAAGAATCTTTGAACGCCAAGTTCGTGGGTGAAGGCTACATTGTTGTTTCAACTTATTGTGAAGTCAATTCTCCGAGTGTCTTAAACTGAATTATATCTCTTAAAATCTGAACTTCAAGCTTATATGAGTGTTGTTAATCATGCTCCGGATTATGTTTTTTTCATTTAAGATCAACCTGAACAGGATCATGCAAATATTAATCACATATTGATCCATCCATATCCATTTACTGCACATTTTACACTGTATGTAATGTAGCATAATGAGGTCATTAATAATGTTGAGTTTGATGGGAAAGACTGAAGCATTAGTTCTCTTTTGCAAAAGGAATAAAGTCTCTGGCTATTTAGCCATTGAAGCTCCTCTGAGTAACTTTTGGGGCTCCTTTGAACAAAGCGGTTCGTCTTATTATTTTGCTGATTTTGTCCTGTGCATGTATAATAAGTGTTTTCTGACAAATATCTTCAACCTGTAGTCTTTTAAGGGTCGAACATAATATCCCTCATTGGGAATCTTTGCTGCGGAAAATTGGATCTGCAGGGTGCTGTTAATTGACTGATCTGACACCTACACCTAACAGCCATAATAGGCTTTAACAATGACTATAAATGAATCATTATCATGTTTTTGATGGTCTTGTTTTCATCTGTAGGTCATATAGAGGCATCAGTATTGATTTCAGTCCGTTTTATAACCGTTTTATGAAATTTAAAAAACCTCCTAACGTGAGCTTTAAGATGAATCTAAACAGGTGTAAACATGTTATGTGAGCAATAAAATGCAGGTTCAATGATTGAAGCGGATGCAACACTAAGCTGACAGCTTTAGAGAAAGGAACATCCTTGGACCACTGACAAATCAAGAGATCATGGACATTATGTCATTTAGACTTACATCTTCTGCACTAAAGCAAGTTGTCAGTGTTGTTACATAAATACAACCAGTGCAAATACCAGTGCATTAACTGAATTCTTCAAACATACTCTGACACACCATCGGAGGTTGACAAAAAGTAATAATAGAAGTGTCAATCTATTTCCTGCTTACCTCTTTTGATGCTGTGGTTACATTTGGTGCAGTCTGTTGAGCTGAAGGAGCGCCCTCCTCTGGTGATGGCTGGAATCAAATTGGTGTAGGCCGGGTAGCCATTGATCCTGGAGGGCTCCGTGTAGCACGCCTCCACTGAGGTGCAGCAGTACACCGGGTGTGTAATCCCTGAGGGCTGCGAACCCCTGCTGGGGAGCAGCTTGGGCCTCTTGTCACTCCTGGAGCACAAAGCAAGGGGTGGAATCGAAGAAGGGGAGGAGTCTGGGTGGCTAAAGTGGACATAGTAGCCTGGGAAGCAAGTGTACCTGTGTGGGCTTATGGTTATGGATGCTGGGTGAGGGGACTGAAGATGGTGGTGATGATGATGGTGGTGGTGATGGTGGTGGTGGAACACCTCGGACACGGAGCCGTCCTCTGGTTCCTTGAAAGTTTTGTCCTCCAGGAAAAGGGCCATTCTGTGACAGTACTCGACACACCTCTCCTGGGTGCAGCAGTAGCAGGAAGACACCTCACTCTCCACCTGCTCCTCTTTGATTGTTTTCAAGGAGAATCCAAGTGAAGACCCACAATGGAGTGGATGTTTGAGACACTCCTTTCCTCCTGTGTTGGCCTTCCACTCTGGATCCTGAGATTCACTTTTACACAAACTACAACAACCCTTGACGGTAGAGCCAGCTGGGAATGATCTGGATCCTCTGTACCCTGTGTTCTGTGCTTTAGTTGGTCCTCTTGTTTGGGATGTGTTTCTTTTTTGGTCAGCGTTGATCCTCCACACACTGGCTTAGAGTTAATCTCACTGTGAGTCGTGGCAGCTGCCTCACTTTTACTCTCAGACTTGGACTCAGTTTTCTTTTGCCGTTTGGTTCCGTATGCAGCACCGGTGAGTTTGAGAAGCGTCGCAGCAGTGAGGCCCGCCTGACGCCGAGGCGTTGGCGCAAACAAAGCCAACCAGTCAATTTCCTGAGCCTCCACTGCTGACCGCCTCTGTTTTTTAGGTCTTTCTTTTGGGTCTGCTTTCCCTCCTGGAGGAACCTTTTTGGTTTCACAACCTCTGTGCTCAACTTTAGAGCCACTATCTGTAGCTTGATCTTCATTAGAAGGCTGCCGTTTCTTGGTGAGATTTGAGATGAGAGAGTCGTCTTTGTAGAGCAGCAAGCTGTTGACCGCCTCAGCGTTAAGAGAGGCCATTCTTCGCCTGCGTGGCTCAAGAACAGGTGCAGGAAACATGAGTAAGGTGTCGAATTGGTTGTTTTTTGGTTCCAGTGCTTGTTGATTGCCTGCTAACATTTTCTTAAGTCCAGATTTGGTCCTTCTTTGAATGGAGGTGGAGTTCTGCTTCTTTTTGGCTTTATCCTGCTTGTGTTTCCCAGCTTTTGGTATATCCATTTTTTTACCAACAACTCCTTTCTCCTCCAAGCGAGTGAGCAAGACGCAACAGTCCAGTGCATCTCCGTTACCCAGTGCCAGTGTCTTCCTCCTATGTCGATGACACTCTTTCTTGTCTTTCTTCTTCTTTCTTTCTTTCAACTCCTTCTTTCTCTCTTTCCCTTTTTTAGTGCCAACTCTCTTCTCCTTGCCTCCCTCCTCTTTCTTGGGTTTCCTGCATTTGACAGGCTGGCTCGGCTGAGCTTTCACCATAGTCTCAGCTTCGGTCCAACACCTTCTTTACATCCACAGGGTACGACAATGGTCGGCTGATGCTCAAAGAGACCCTTCAGTGAGCATCATCATGGATCATCAGCTTAGTCCATACGCTCTTCTAGGGAGACACAGATCAGACATTTACTTTAAAAAGATAGGCCAAACATAAGCTAACTTGTCTAGAATCTTAGCAAGACTTGATGTAACAGACAGGATCTTTTGATGCATTATTTAACAACCAATTTGACTTGGTTTGATGTCAATTTCCAGGTCCCTGGAGAATATGTCCAATTAGACAACTTCACCACATTGAACACACAGGATGGAAGTGAAACTAAGATAAAGAGCACATTACGTTCAAGCCTGAAGCCATTTCTACTCAAACCTCTTTCTCATTTGCTCTTTTCACACTGAGATCTTTTTACACCGAGGTCATTATATATTAATTATGCTCTGGCTGCGTAGCCTTTTTGTCCTTCGTATCAATACTGACCATTTTCAACCTATGCTGAAGCACATGAATGACTCACACAGTCCACCAGGAGGTCAACATTACAAGCATTCACCCACTCACTGCTGGAACACCGAAGTACAGAGCAGAAGCAGGCGAGGCATTTTGGTGGTGTGTTCAATGTTTGATATGATGGATGCTTTTAGAAGTGATTTGATCTCTAAGTCACAATTCCACACTGATTTAATTTTAGCTGTAGCTGCTGCCTGTGGCTGATCCCTGTAAATGGTAGTATTGCTTACCAAAGAGTAGGGAATTAGATTAGACATGAAAAGACAGCTAAAACTGAATCATCCGACTACATATTTCAATTTCTACAAGGTCAGAAGGGCAGCAAACTCTTTTTAATTACTCCGAGGAATGAACACAGTCATTTAAAAAATGTTTGGGGACACAAGAAACCAAAAACACTCTGACCAAATGCCTCATGAATAGCCCTTATTTCAGCAGAACTGGGAGCAGAATCGCTTGTCACACGATAGCCCTTTAGTTTCAATATCAACAGATTGCTACAGAGTACATCAAAGCGTCCCCAGCTACTTTAAAGTGAAAGACGCCTAAATGAGCTTTTAGATCCTCTGCTATTCAGATGCGTTTGTGCTCTCTCAAAACAAAATAACGCCTCAATTAGGAGAAACCTTTAAAGTTCTTGGTGATTCAACTGCCAGTGACCTTTGTGCAATGACGCTCCTGTGTGCAGCATGAAGAGACAGCTCACCTTTTTTGCTGCCGCCTTGAAACACAATGGTACTTGACCTCCAAGAACTAAGTCAACACTGGGCTTTTTTTTTTTTATATCAAGTGTCTCTTCAGTCAGAATTTCATTGAGCTTTTACTACAACACACATTGAGAAGACATAGTCTCATTAATAAAGCACAAATATATGGTCAATAATGGGACTCGTTCTTTAACAAGCTGCCACTGATGAACGCTCATTTGTTTCTGATCAGAATGCAATACGTTACTGTCTACATGGAAATGTTGTGCTTTGCTTTAAAGGGGACATATTATGAAAAATCCACTTTTACTGTGTTTTTGAACATCTATTTGGGTAACCTGAGTGTCTACCGACCCACAAAATGTGAAATAAACCCATCCAGTTCTTTGTTTGTGGGCTGCATAAGTCTTACGACACAGAGAAAAAAATGTTCTGTTTCGAATTTGCTCTCCTTGTGATGTCACAGTGGGATTCTGGTAAATTCGATAGCGGAGTGATGTCTACCTGGAAAACTCAGGGGGGGCTCATTGCATTTAAAGAGACACACACACCAAAACGGAGCATTCTGAGAGAGCTGATTTATACAGGGTACAAACCTCCCCTGGAGCTTGATTCATGTTATATTTTGACCAAAGCACAGCACAGATGTTTCATTTAGACCACAGGGGGACTGTTTTAAAAGGTAGAAAAGGGGTATGATATGTCTTCTTTAACTCATTCTAGTAATTATTCCTTGTGCTGTAATAGGTGTGTTTAAGGGAACTTGGGAACAACAACCTCAGCTCACGTGAATGTAATGCTGCATTAACTCATTTTTTCAAAATTGATTATCTGCAGATAGAAGTCATTTTACTCTACAAAATGCACACAAAGAAAGAAAACATGTCCTTTTATTCAACTAATGGTCCTCAACCTAAAGACACTATGGTAACAGTGAAACCTGGCAGAGAAAAGTAGTGGTGCAACTGGTCAAACTGATCAGTTCTGATCCCCTCTCAGGGTTTGGACCACATGTGATCCACAGATGAATTGAAAATGTATGAACATGGTGTAACATAAATGTACTGCTGATCAAACCATGTGCAGAGTCTCAATGAAAAGAAGGCAGTGTTTACTTGAATGTGCCATTGAAATCAGCTGTAGAAATGAGAAGACAATTCAGCTCTTTAAAAATAGATTTTTACAAACGTTGTTCGCTGGTTTTCACACAAACGGGTCGTAAAGCGTTGATATTTCATTGTGTGTGGCTACTTTGTTGCGGCTTTGACTGTTCTCTGTTTCATCTAACCTTATCAGCGGTTTTCATGCAGGTATCAGCTGGTGGTTACCGGTGACAACAATCAGAAACTTAACATGAGTACATTACAGCCTGCTCTAGTCTGTAGCTGTCAAACAAGCTCTGGTAGAGTGCTCCCTGTTTGGTCAAAAACTGAAGATACAGTCCCTAAACACACACTCCCTGTTTATTGCTGTTAAAGATTTTTCTTTTTGCGCCTTTTTGCCTTTATAAGATAGGAAAGCTGAAGAGAGACAGGAAGTGGGGGGAGTAGAGAAGGAGGGGGGGGATGACATGCAGCAAAGGGTTGAGGTCGGATTTGAACCCACAGCCTCTGCGCTGAGGACTATTGCCTCTGTACATGGGGCGTGCGTCATAACCGCTATAGGCTATCAGCGCCCCACCTCTTTATTATTTTTTTCTGACTAAAGCAACGCACGCTGCAGGTGCAGCCAGTGCACAGATACACACACATCCACTAAATGAACAGTCTGTGTCAGTTATGTGTCCGTCATTGTCAAAGCTCATACAAGAGGACAGTGAGGTTTTTTTTTTTTAAAGATTACAACACATATTATTCTTCACTGAAATATTTCTATTTTGTGTTTGTCAAGTTGATTCCCCTGTGAGGGGAACAAATCCTACTGTTATTGAAATTATGCAGATTATTATATTAATAGTAAATTAATGAATTAAAATAACTGAATAGTGCTGTTAAAATGCACAGATTGATTCATGGCCAGCTGAGGAGTAGAAAAGTTGTCTTAAAAACCCAAAACGACACAACCCATGACAGAAATCCCTGATCCCAACCTAACTGTGAGATTTGTGATCCGTTACGCCACTCGAGAAAAGACAGAAATACTGAAGATGAATGTACATTTGGTAGGCTAGTTGAAATATAACTTGCAGCTACACTATACGGTCTAAATGAATGTTTATAGGAATGAAAAGATTTGAATCAACAAGTGACACAATGCTGCAGAGTTTCATTTAGAATGAGAAAGCATCCCCTCCAAAGCAAAACAATCGCTTGTCAACAATCATATAAATATGTAATATATACTGTATATAGACAATATGTGTTCATCTTTTGTCAAATATCCAAGATCAATTTAAAAATCTCACAGCAGGCCAACAAAAAAAACATACATCTTTGTAACACCTGTAGTATTGAATATTTGAGGCCTGTAGTTGTAACAAGGCTCTAACTTACTCTGCAGGGTGTGTTTGTGTGTCTTAAATCTTTTTGTACAATATGTTGTCTTTTCTTGTGAATAAAATGCAGCTAATCCCTGTTGTTTTTTGTTGCACCCTTCTTTGCCAGCAGTATCATACGGTAGGGATAGAACAGGAAATGTGCGATGATTAAAACTGAATTATTCAAGCATCTGCAGTCAAAGAAACAAAACTCACCAGCATATCTTAATTCTGGATAAACTGCTTCTGCATTCAAATAAAATGTAATCCACAGCTTTTACCCCCGCAACTTCATCTCCTTACAGAGTGTGCCACAAATCTGCTCTTTAGCCAACTTCCAGTAATAGTGATGTGATGAGTTTTAGTACTTTATTTGAGTATTTCTCCTCTTGTCAATATTCAAACATGCCTATCTTTCACTTAAACTTTAACACAGTTCGTGATTCCTAACCTGTGCTTTGTTTCAGCATTTCATGTCATTTGAAATTGAGTGAGAGTGTTTCCAAAGAATCATGTTCTACAGAATGCCAACCGTATTTGACTCTGGAGACTGGAGCGGACACAAATGTCCGCCTGGACATTTTTTCAAACCCTCTCATAGCTCAGCCCGCCCTTATTGCCCAATGACTCTCCGAACCGTGAAATACAATCCATGAGAGAGAAATTTAATTTCCACATAACAAGAGGACAGAAGGAGCCTCGCATTGAGTTTCTGTCTGCGGATATCAAATCAAGTTGCCTCATTTCAATAAGACAAGCAGGCACAATGGAGGGACAGAGGCTCGCTGAAGAGCATCATTATTTTACCCTCCAGACCTTCACCACGCAGACCACAGCAAACAATAATACAGATCTGTTCAAGGTTCAAATTAACAATGTGGTCACAGTATACACTGTATTAACACGCTTGTTCATGCTTTTGAAAAATCAACTCAAAACAGTTTGCTGGTTCTTAAGCCTACAAAACTCAGCGATATGCACAGCAGCTACATCATAAGATCAATGCACCCACACATGTGCACACTGGTTGTTACAGTCCTCTCTGTTGGATTTTGACTGAATATAGTAGGGTAGAAAACTGCTTTGTAATTGTCATAAATATAAAATCTCTGTGCAGTTTTTTTTTCCATTTCTTGTATTTCTTTAAACTCACCTAAAAAATGACATGTTATGTTTAATAACTTAGGATTCACCACTGATTATTGGCTAAATTCATCCTTCTCATCTTTTTTTTCTTGGAATATTAGGCTATAAAGATGTATTATAATATATATTAAAATAATATTCTTCTCAAATGTAAAACACACCAACAGGTGTGTTAAAGAGAAATATAATAAATGACGTGATGAGCTTACGTTTGTTCTTCAGAGGAGTGGAGGGTTTAAAAGATGAATTTAAGGGCTTGTAAAATG